GATGGAGAGGGGGCTCCCTGATGTACCTACAGCATTGTGCAGCCCAGGTCTCTGCTTTCAGCACGGCCATACAGTCGGTAAAACTGTCTCACGGGAGCAGCTGGTCTCAGTGGGAGCAGAATAAGCTGACCTGGTAAAAATCAGCTTTGCTTGTAAAAACTTAGTCCAGTTTACTGCTATTATAATACTATCCCAGTCATTATAGTCCAATTATAAATTTTCACTTTTCTTAAAGTGTGAAATAGCAACTACTGGAAAGCTGTTATAGCAGCTAATCATCATCACCATTTAAACCTCCTTGTTGTTTGAACTTCCTCATTCCTTAGTCTTCTCTCAAGTAAGCCCAAGAAGATACTTCGACAAACAAGGTAAGGAATGTTGTGCTGTCCTCCAGCCTGCCAGTAAGTAAAAGGAGTCAATCCCAGAGATACCCATTGGACATCTTTGATTGGCATAGCGTGATCTTTAACAAGCAGATCAAGGAAACATCAGTGTTATTTTCTCTCTCAGCTTCAGATTCCTAGTGGCCCAATTCTATTAAAAAATCAGGTGGTAAAAATATTAGAGGGTATTAAATTTGTGGCCTCTTGCAACTTTCCTAGCCCTGATGAATCCCACTCTAAGCGCATATGACCCCTGCTCACCTTCAGCAGACTTCAGACCAGGTGCCAGTCTGATTCAAATGTGGTATTTATAGCTCCAGAGTTTTAATTTACACTGTTTGACAGAAGGTATCCCTGCCTACAATATTTTCATATTTTTTAAATTAAGGAGTTTGGAGGGGTTGGAATGTAGGAAAGGGAAAATTTATCATGGTTGTAGTTTGAGTAAAGCATCTGAAATAGCTTTTTAGAATAGCAGTTTCACTAGAACATTTTAAACCAAAGTTTGTACTCTGGATTTGTAAAACTGCCGAGTTTGCAGTTAGCATCAACATTTGCTATAGCAAGTGAAGATTAAAGATACACGTCTCTGATTTTCTCTTTACACTTTTAATTGGACTGTAGTTTTGACAGGATTTTGTACATAAACTCTTCAGTGATGCAGCTCATTATCCTTTCTTTCTTTCCCTTTACTTTTAGAAAAAGAGCAGAAGGGAGAATTTAGGAAAATAATGACCTATTTTCTTATATAATCACAGAAACTGGAAGATGGGAAAGAAGAAAAATACTCTAGATGAAGGGTTGATTGCTGAAATTGTTTTAACTATTTTTTAATTGGCAAGCTGTTAAGTTGATATCATCAATGAGGAACACATCAACACACAGCATCTAAAGCAGTAAACATGTCAATTGGGAAATGGAGCTCACAAGCTCTGTTACAGTTATCCATATAGTGAAGAGTTAAGACTGACTGGATCACAAGCATAAGTCATTCAAGAAATATCAAGGGTGGAGTTTGAGCTTACAATTCTTTGTTGTCTTCTGCTTTTTTCTCTGAAGAGGTTATGGAGGCAGGACAGGAGATGTTTGCACATTCTTCTACCCTGCTTGGGGGGCTGTGCAGAGTGAGGTACTGATCTCTGTCTGAAGAACTTTTTCATACAAATATAAGACATACAGGTGAATCTCCAGGGCTTGCTTTGCTGTCAGTCCCTGTTAAAGGACTTGGAAGGTCCTACACAATTTATAAACCTCTAATCTACTAGTGGACACCTCTGTTGCAGAGTACATGTAAAACATCTGTGCATTCCCTTGATGCTGGTTTATACTGTTTATAGGGATGGGGGTGGAACAAGTTGTTTAAAGATGAAATTGGAAGCTCCCTTAACTGCTTTATTACCCACCTGACTTTCTCCAAATGCAACTCGTTAATTACTAATGCCTTGAAAATCAGAGCAGTTATCCAATTCAAATTACATTACATCTCTGAGCCAGAGCATTTTCATTATCATTTCCCTTTCAAACAATTCTTCCTTCTCCCCAGTTGTTAAAGCCTCAGACTCTGCTCTGTTTCCTCTCATTTTGGACCCTTATCCATACAAGGGTATTCCTACTCCGTGTCTGTCATGCCTTCTTGGTGAAAATGGGTGTGGGTTATCAGATTAATTATTACAAATTTATAAATCCAACCCTCCTGCCTCCCCCAGAAGTACATGTATGCATCTTAGGGCAGAACATGGCCAGTGTAATCCACAGTCTTCTTTTCCAGTTGGTGATCATGTGCTTGGGGAAGGAATGAACCTAGTTTAGGGCTTAAGCTGTCTTTGCAATCCTTGCACCTGCAGACCTCCTTGTGGAGGCAGGACTGGGCAGTAGAGTTCACAGTCACAGTCATGCCAAGCCCCAGAGCCAAGCTCTCAACAGAAGTAATTCTTTTATATACCAGCAATAACTTGGTCTGCTGGTGGCAAGGTGGGGTATGTTTCTGGAGTTGATACAATGCTGATCCTAGGTGAAATGTGTCTTTAGAAATGGGTCCTGGCACATTTGTGCTTTGCTTATGTATATTTTCATGCCTGCCAGCGCTCTGAGATCTAGACGCCGAGTGCTGGGGGCAGACTAGGTGCAATTTTTCATGCTGCTGACGTTAATTGGATGAACAGACCTTCTCAGAAGGGGCAGTGTGGGAAATGTGTATGGAAAAATGACAAAATAAGGAGTTCCACAGCTAAATAAAGACAAGTGGCTGAAAATGGTTTTTACAGCTTTGCCTTTCATATGTTTCGTTTGGGAATCTAAAACCATTTTGCACAACAACTACCAAATTAAGATTCTCAGCACCTTTCCAAAGAAGATAATTGCTCCTGTCTTACAGATGGAGAAACAGAGGTATTGAGGCTAGGATCTGAAAGTATGTCCCCTGTTTTCAAGTCTCCAGATTGATATACACTTAAACCTTATTCTCAGAAGCATTAAATACCTCAATTTATATTCATTCATTTGGCATTGCTTGTCCTTAGAGTCTCTGAAAATCGGATGGGTTGTTTCCTGACTTCAGTGATCTGAATAATCAAAGTGATGTGGCAAGGATCACAGAGCAACTGCAAGGCCAGACTGGGACTGGGACCCATGTGCCCTCATGCTATATCACCTTTTAACTCACTCTGCCTTGGATTCCTGGCCAAAAGGGAAAACAAATTCTGTTCACTCAGTTTACCTCTGCTCTCTCAAACAATTGGATGTTAATAGCAACAATATTGTTTGGGTTATTAATCAACTTGACAGACTAATTTTACCTTGTCTAACCATCAAGAAATTGTCTTCAGGTTTTTATGGTTCCTATTGTAGAACTAGCATGGCAATGCAGCGACAATCATTTGTATCACCTGGTTTTCCGCTGTTGTTTTGGTTTCTTTCAGCATACAACAGTTTTGCCCTTTGTATTAATCGAGATGAGAACAACACATCATCAGTATCCCAGCAGGAGCTGTGGACTGGCTGCAGTGTCCACCTTCGCTGTTGGCTATATTTTATGGTAAGAGCTGTACATGCTGGGTTTTCATATTGTATTGGGGGTTTTGTACTCTAAATTTGGGCACATATTTCATTATGGATATAATTGCTAACAGATTCACACTGCATGCCTCGTTTGGTCCAAGACCTGGGCTTTGTCTGGTTTCCCCAGATGCTTATATTTTTAGAAAGTATATGCCAAACCTCACACAACAGGAATTTGTTGAACAATCCCATGTAAGCAGTGGTCTTTCCAAGGGTACATTTTTCAACCTTTTTTCAAGTTGAATGTTTTTCTTGGACCTTAGTTTTATTGCTTAGGGTTTTTGTCCTATCAAATAAAATTGAGAATAGGCAAATGATTTCCTGCATCAGTATCTAAGCAGCAACAGAAAAGAGAAGACACTGTTTTTTTTCTTTACTAGTTCATAACTTCTTTCTGTAAAATTGATTACAGAATAAGTTAGTAATCCAAACACTCCAAAGTTTGTTTTAAAAAACGCAAATGTTTGTGAAAAGTAAAACTAAAACAAAAATAACCTTTCTTACACAACTTTAAATGAGGTCTTCGGGCAGTTTCTACTCAAGGACGTGACTTACATGACAGAGTTAATTTACTTTGGGCACTGTAGCATTTTATTTTTCACTAAATTTTTGTCTCATTTACAGTGTTTCTTTGATACCATATGCCCTTTATCCTTTTTTGTAAACATTTCATGACCTCCTGTTTACTTCTCATATTCTTTTTTCTTACTTTACAACACTCTTCCCTCAGCTAAGAGGATATTTTCCAGAATTGTGGATAGTACTACTTTTTCCACCAAATGAGATCAAACTAATGAGAGAGAAACATAGGCTCAAGGCAGCACTGCTTCAAATATGCAACTTTCCTCTTCAGTCCAGTGAAAGAGGGGCCAATATTCATACACATCCACATATACTGAGTGATCATAAAATGCTGGTAATCCAGCTGAAGTGGGATATTGTGTACCAGGACAAAAGCCACATTCTGCCATTTGCTTTTATAAACATACCTGTCCTTCTTGAAAAAGAATAATATTGGTAATTGTAAGAAAAGAACAGCCTCATGCAAAAGGTCAATGTAATGATTCCTTCAGGAGAAAGTAATTTTTTTTAACCCCTATATAATAATGGGTAGCCATGATATTTCTCTAAAGAATACCCAGAGGCAGGTTGGCAGAGTTACTGCACGTGTGCTCTGACCTCCTATGGCAACTCCTGTTTTCTCAAAATCATCTGAGAAGGTACATACAATAGTATTCAATAGGAATAGAAAATTGAAACAATCCAGTTCTACAAGGGAAATAAAACCAGGGGTGTATTAAAGTCTTCTAAGAATCTGTCACAGTATCACTGTGATACTTCTGTGGCTTGATCCTGCCTGCTACAGTGCATCTACATCCTACAGCTACGAGTACAAGGTAAAAAGAAATTGTAGGACAAGAAAAGCACGGGAAGAAGGTTCCGCAGCAAGAAAATATTAAGTACCCAGTTAAAACCTACGATCACCTCCCTTTGCTTCTGCTGTTTATTGGTTTTGCCTAGATGTACATTATTTGGAAAACAGAAAGGACTACTCTCAAGTGACTCACTTTCTTCCAAGTTATGATTTCTCTAAAGGTGGTCTGAGACAATTGCTTATCCAGTATATAGGTCATCCTGCTAAATTCTGGTCTTACAGCCCATTTCTCCTACTCTTTTGAAAGAAGGTCTTTGGTGAAGACTGAAGGAAGACAAAGTTAGACTGTATTATCTGCAAGTTCTGCATGTCCTCAGCCTGCAAGTGTTACTGAAGCCTCTATCCAAGATTTGATTGAGGCTGCAAATCAAGTCTTGGTTTGGTGATAATCAATACAATGTATCTCATGTTCACAGGTTGAGAAAATATACCAGAAAATATGAAAAGTGAGTTATTTTTCATCCCTCTCACCCATAGTGTGCCTACCTTTCAGAGCTGAGGTCCACTGTTTTCCTACTGCTAAGTGACCACACTGAAGTAGAGACTTTGAGTACTTAGAGGGTTTGGAATGACTTAATTTGGATTTTCTACTCTTGTTGGTGTACTGTTAATTACCTCAAGGTTAGCACAGTGCATTAAAATGAGACTACACCTGCAAATGTTTTCCCCTTGTTCTCAGCACTGGTGAGGCCACACCTCAAGTACTATGCTCAGTTTTGGACCTGTTTAGCCTGGAAAAAAGGAGGCTGAGGGGAAGGCTCTCTACAGCTACCTGAAAGGAAGCTGTAGCCAGGTGGGGGTTGGTCTCTTCTCCCAGGTAACAAGCGGTAGAAATAAGAGGAAATGGGCTCAATTTGTGCCAGGGGAGGTTTAGATTGGATATAAGGAAAGATTTCTTTACTGAAAGGGTTGTCAGGCACTGGAACAGGCTGCCCAGGGAAGTGGTTGAGTCACCATCTCTGGAGGTGTTTTAAAGACATGTAGATGTGGTGCTTAGGGATGTGGTTTAGTGGTGGAGTTAGCAGTGGTTTAGGTTAATGGTTGGAATTCATGATCTTAAGGGTCTTTTCCAACCAAAATGGTTCTGTGTGATTCTATGAAATAACCTAGTTACATGAAACCTGGTGGAACTTCCTTTCCCTGTTTCTTTGTTGTCCATGGTGCCCTGCTGGGGCTTAGTTCTTGGTTTATGTTTTTTTACCTAGAAGTTAGGGATCTGCACCTTGAGACTTCGTCCTTCTCCCTACATAATTTTTCCCTCAGCAAAAGTGTTTTCACCGCAACTCTCTCACTATAAAATGAAGACAGTTGCTAATCACATGTTCTTATGTTTTGCCCTTGAATTTTGAACTCTATCTCCACATCAGCTAAAACTTTCTTACCATTCTACATAGATTATCTATCATGTCTCATTTTGTACTGTAAAAGACCATACTGGAGGATATGGTTTAGGTCTGATCCTGTTAATGCTTTTTTTTTCAACTCCAAGTAGAGAAGAACTTCTGTTTCATTTTATATGTGACTGAATCTTTCACATATGAAAGAGATGGTGGAATAGCAAGCTTGTATTATATATATATATTTGATAAATGAGAAAACAGGCAGACAATTCTAAATAGAATTACTGAAGTTGGAAGAACATGGCTAAATAGAAAATATACCAGAAAATATGAAAAGTGAGTTATTTTTCATCCCTCTCACCCATAGTGTGCCTACCTTTCAGAGCTGAGGTCCACTGTTTTCCTACTGCTAAGTGACCACACTGAAGTAGAGACTTTGAGTACTTAGAGGGTTTGGAATGACTTAATTTGGATTTTCTACTCTTGTTGGTGTACTGTTAATTACCTCAAGGTTAGCACAGTGCATTAAAATGAGACTACACCTGCAAATGTTTTCCCCTTGTTCTCAGCACTGGTGAGGCCACACCTCAAGTACTATGCTCAGTTTTGGACCTGTTTAGCCTGGAAAAAAGGAGGCTGAGGGGAAGGCTCTCTACAGCTACCTGAAAGGAAGCTGTAGCCAGGTGGGGGTTGGTCTCTTCTCCCAGGTAACAAGCGGTAGAAATAAGAGGAAATGGGCTCAATTTGTGCCAGGGGAGGTTTAGATTGGATATAAGGAAAGATTTCTTTACTGAAAGGGTTGTCAGGCACTGGAACAGGCTGCCCAGGGAAGTGGTTGAGTCACCATCTCTGGAGGTGTTTTAAAGACATGTAGATGTGGTGCTTAGGGATGTGGTTTAGTGGTGGAGTTAGCAGTGGTTTAGGTTAATGGTTGGAATTCATGATCTTAAGGGTCTTTTCCAACCAAAATGGTTCTGTGTGATTCTATGAAATAACCTAGTTACATGAAACCTGGTGGAACTTCCTTTCCCTGTTTCTTTGTTGTCCATGGTGCCCTGCTGGGGCTTAGTTCTTGGTTTATGTTTTTTTACCTAGAAGTTAGGGATCTGCACCTTGAGACTTCGTCCTTCTCCCTACATAATTTTTCCCTCAGCAAAAGTGTTTTCACCGCAACTCTCTCACTATAAAATGAAGACAGTTGCTAATCACATGTTCTTATGTTTTGCCCTTGAATTTTGAACTCTATCTCCACATCAGCTAAAACTTTCTTACCATTCTACATAGATTATCTATCATGTCTCATTTTGTACTGTAAAAGACCATACTGGAGGATATGGTTTAGGTCTGATCCTGTTAATGCTTTTTTTTTCAACTCCAAGTAGAGAAGAACTTCTGTTTCATTTTATATGTGACTGAATCTTTCACATATGAAAGAGATGGTGGAATAGCAAGCTTGTATTATATATATATATTTGATAAATGAGAAAACAGGCAGACAATTCTAAATAGAATTACTGAAGTTGGAAGAACATGGCTAAATAACTTGATATCCCCTGATCATTATTCAGAGACATATTATCTGTGAAACATCCTTTCTTCAAGAGTAAAGCCTTTTTCTATCTTCTTTTTTCTTTGTGTTCTCTCCCTTCAGTGAGAGAGTATTTGAGTAGGCACACTTAGCTCATGCACTCCCTGTGAGGGGAAGCTCTCCCTTGCTCTTAAGGAACTGTGCCCAGGCACGGCATTCACGGACTTGCATTGCCTGTTGCAGACCATACATGGGCTTTCAGGATCAAGGCCATGGGATAAGATGGGAAAGGCCGATGGGCTTTATTTAGTGTGTCTTGAAAAGGTCACAGTTTGTATTGAATTGTTGAATCTAGACAGTGTTAAGAAAACCCAAGAGCTTGCCAATCCTACCAGAAAATACTGCCAATGGGTGTATGTAGTTGGTTGTCACGGAACAGAAAAGAGCCAGAAATGTGTTGCTCCTTGTAATAAGAATGACCTCATGGTAACTAATATCAGAGCCTAATATGTCCCTAAAATAAACTGAGACAACTACGTTTATTTTAAATGGTTTTCCTGTTCCCTCTGCTTTTGAGCACTCAAGGATGCCAAAAAAAGAGACCCTAAGAACCTGACTCCACTCCTCTAGTCATGCTGGGCTACGTGTTTGAGAGCTAAAACTTGATCTGATTG